GGTTACCAAGCTAGGCTATGTAGACAAGTCTGTCCTGTTATTTACCCATAGCCAAGGGAAGAAGAGATGAATTAATGCTTTTTTTCCAAATGCAATTGCACATTAATCAATACAACTAACTTGAATAGAATTTGAACTTGACTTCCCATTTTCTCATTCAGAGTTGTTATTCATTACACCACTGCACATTTACTAAGGAAATAGCAGGTTGTATGCTAGCAGAAAAGATAGTGATGAAAAGTCAAACATTGTTTCAGTGGGAGAAACAGACAAGCAACACACAAAAATAAAAGATGGTATGCATTGAATGATACAAGATATTCATATTCTTTAAGCATTTTCCTGAATACTATTGCAAAATATGCATGTCTCATGTAATAAAACCATTCAATTTTTGTCAATCTATAATCTTTGTCCCTGAAAAAAAAAACACTACAAAAAGAACAGTTTTTCCCTTGAAAATAAAAGTGTTTATTTTAACTACCCTCAGCAATGTTTGTTTCAAAAAGCAATGAAGAGGAGTGAAGGTGGTTAGAATAAAAGCGGTATGAAGAGAAAAACTGCCCTTTTAGGTTACATTTTTGTTTTTTACAGTCAGATCTAATTACTTTTTCTTGTTTTTAACTGTAGGCATTAACAATATTGTTATTGCTGCACATCAACAACAATTTCATATATAAAGATAACTGATTTCTAACAATTAGATTGTACAAGAGTCAGTTAAAAAGTAAGGCTTGTTATAAATTAATCTAAAAAATACTAGTCATAATTCTCAGGAATATTTCAGTTAAATAACTAGAAGCCCAGGGAAAAAATTTATAGAGTGGCTTTCTCTCTTCTTACCCATAATCCTCTTTGATGTACAGTTAGTGTAATTGTTATCAGTTCAGAAAGAGGAATTAACAAATTGAGATCAAATCCTGGCCTAGTCTGTAGCATTAACTATTGCACAAATAAATTTTGAAAAGGCATGAATCCATATCTTATTCTTACAGCTATAGGTTAAATAGCAGGGTAGATTGAGATCTCTACCTTTGGATGGCAATCAGTCTAAAAGATGGAGAAGTAAATCCCAAAGGCAATAGGAAATCATTCTGCTATTTTTCTCAAGAAGGGATGGTAACTTGCAGATAATATAGAAAAGGAAACTGTGAAAGGCCATGGATCAACTATGTTCTGAAAGCACATGAAGAAAATCTTTTTCTTTTTAACAAAATGGCTGTTCCTCTGCACATGCATAGAAAAAGCTGTTATAGAATTTTTTTTAAAGAAAAGTACTGCAAACATTCAAATGTGGTTAGTGAAGATTTATGAAAAGGCTGTATTTCATCTAAGCACAGTAAGATGGCTAAGGTACAGTTTATAGTAATTTTAGAGAGTAAAGAGAATACATTGTTGATTCTATTAATAAGCAAACAAGCTGTGACTATCATTACAGATAGAAGAATCAATATTGCAAAATTCTGTGAAAGCCCTCAGGCAAGCCAGAGTAGTGTCTGCAATTTAGTACAGTCTTTGGTTACTCAAAATCTGCACAATGGGTTCCCAGAATGCTGAAAGATTCCATGAAGCAGCAAAGGGTGGTTGTTGCCTCAGAGTTTCTGAAGATTCATAATATGGATAACACCTTCCCAAGCATGTTAGTTTCAGGAAATAAGACCTGGGTTCATTACTAGAGCCAGAGAGCAAAAGAACAGAGCAGTGTTATCCAAACTCCCCTACAAGAAGTTTAAGGTGGAACAATTCTTAGAGAAAGTGATGACAAAATGTATTTTAGGACCATAAGGAAGTGAAGCTGCTCAATCTTCAGTCTCAATAGTTTACATAGCCTTGTAGGTGATTATTTTACACCCTACAACCTCTTTCCCTACAGTTGAAATGTTGCTAGCCTCTTGTTACTTTCATTATTTTGATGGAAAAAAAAGTTTGGGCAAGCTATATGCGTTCATTCCACCAATTCAGACCTTCACAGCTAAGACCAATCATGTGGAGTACACAAGGTGAGCATCCTCATTCCCTTTATTTTCCTTGGTACAGGGGAAGTTTGACTCAAACAACTTCTTCCTGAGTACTGTTACTTTATAGAACACAAATCCCAGGAATATGTTTTCCTGGTCACTATGTAACCTCTTCATATCTAGTGTCCTACACATCCTTATAATATGCACTTTTTTTTTCTTTTTACATCATTATAATTTCATTCAGTAACTCTCAACCTTGAGTTGCTCTTGGGCTTTGTGTCACATGAACAATAGTATAAGAAAACAAAATGTCATAACATGAGAGCTCAAATCTAATGGCATCAAAATCAATTTAGACTCCTATATGAACACAGATTGGCAAGAATATGGAGAAGTAAAATCAGCTTTCAAACAAAGTACAGGCTGTACAAATTGCTGGTAGTCTCCATTCTGCTATATGGATTTGAAATGTTGACACTGTAGGCAGAAACAGAGAAGGACCCAAGCGTTTGAGAAAAAAAAATGCATGAGAAAACTTCATGGCATCTTCTATTAGGAAAATAAAACCAATGAGTTTGTGCGGAAAGTGTTGAAAGTTTTGTGGGACATCAGGAACCTCTTCTTGCCAATGCCAAACAGAGAAAAATGGCATGGTTTGGATACATTACAAGGCATGATGGTCTGTGCAAGACCATCATGCAAGGCGCCATTGAAGGTGGATGTAGAAGACAGTACAAAAACTGGTTGGACAATGTCAAACGATGGACAAATATGACGGTACCAGAATTGCTGATGGTTACCCATTGATAAACAATATGGATTCTGCATTCGGATCTCCCCTATGATTACAAAAGTCAAGTGGATGATGATGATCACTATGTCAAATCTCAGAGCAAGGCCTCTTTGAGTTAAACCAAGGGTTCTCAACCAATGGGAAGGGGAATTTCAGGGTTTCATGTGTGAGGAGGATTGGGGCCACAGATAGAAAGTTAACATTTTGAATTTACCAAACCCCTCAAAGCAGCACAAGCTGCAATGTGTATCAGTCCATGCAACCGAGAGGTCATGCTGGATTTTCTTTCTGATAGCTCTTGTTTTTTTTTTCTGCCACAACAAAAATAAACCATGTAAATATCTATATACTAGTAGGGAAAAGAATGAATTTTAATAATATATGCATATTATTTGGAATGTGACTTCTGAGTTGGACAATCTTCGAAAGTGGGGGGGTTCACATCCTGACTTATGGGGAAAGTGTGTATCAGGCAAAATAGGTCAAGAACTCCTGAGTTTAACCATATATGATAAAAAGTGATGTACATTTATAAGACAATCCAAGACCTCACAGTGGCATAAAAACCAGACCAAGAAATTATAGTCCATGGCTTGACAATCTTGCCTCATTCACCTTAGTCCTAATACCCTCAAATTTTCATCTTTGAAAATGAAAGTTGCACTCATCTGACAGTTGTTTTCCAATAATAGTTAAGAAACAGCTAAAAAGCTTCTATGAAGGGGATATACATTCTTTTATTTAAAAGAGGAATATTATGATTGAGAAGGAAGAACAAAATTTGTTTCTTATTTTGTTATACTTTATGTGCTTCTATTATTAAATCTGTTGTAATTAAAAAAAAAAGACATTACTTTCTGAATAACCCTCATAACTATTGCTGTATATTAGAGAATTTTTTTTTTTTAAGTTAGGAAGCATTACTTTCAAAGAACTATTGTAGTTCTTGTATACATTATAGAAAAATACTATATAAAAAGAGAGCATTGATTTCATATATAGAAATAAATACATCAAACAGAAATAACATACAATCCATTGCAAGATGCTGGGAAAATGGTTGGTCCCCTGTACCACTCCAGTAAGTATCTGACTCCTGATATCTTCTATTGTTACAAGGGTTAGATAAAGCTGAAAATGGTCTACTCCTGCCCATTGTTCACTTTCCTGTTTTGATAGAGATCAAAAGTGTATCTGCATCCTTGTGAGTGATGAATTATTCCCCCCCATAAAATCTTTCCCCACAGATAAAATGTCACAGTCCTCCCTCTGCTCTCCCATTATTTCCATGTAAATTGTTCAGACAAACTACACTCCTTAGTTCCACCAGTTCTAACATTCATGGATAAGACCTGCCATGCCATGTCATGTCCAATGTAATGAACCACTTTCATTCTTTTCATATTCCATTGATAAGATGTAAGTTCCACCCAAGCAGCGTCTTTTCACAAGCTACTGCTTTGTGGAACTGACTCCCAAAAGGATGCTTCCCTAACCATTACAAGCGTACCCTATTGAAGCCTAGAGTTAACTGTTACCGTCCCCATATATCCCCATAAACTGTGCCTCTTGTTCTGTAACCCTCTACCTTAAGTGGCTCATGGGCTTTGTACAGAGTGAACATTATTTAAAAAAATAAATAAAAAAAGAAACAGACATAACAATTCTTAAAACCTATCTAAGATTATAGTTAAAACAGTTGTTATATTGTTTAAACAACTAAAATATCTATTTTAGTAGGTAAAAAAAAAAAATCATCATTTAAATAAACCAATTAACATGTACAATTATTAAATTAGTATTTAAATAAAAAATATTTGAGTCAGTATCATATTAATTATTTTCAAAATATCTTTATTGATTTTTATACTTTCATAAATTCAATAAACCATTAATTTCTTTGTTAAATTGATATGTTATGAAAAACAATTAACTTACACATTGATTACAAATTTAATAGACATAATAAATACTATCAACAATTTTATTTTTTTAGCGCAATATTAATTTCTCAAAACTAGTACTTTTCAAAAAAGAACAATCTAAAAATTAAATTTGGTGCATGACAACAAAATAAACAATACAAAAATAGGAAAAAAAAGCATAAAGTAAATAGCATTTAAAGTTTTACTATTTTTTTTTTTTTGCATTTATTTGAATTTTAGTAATTATAACAGTAACCAAATTGTTATTTGGTATAATCAGGAGGCGGGAGTAGAAGTGTTGTTCTTTGTTTTTGGTGATGATTAAAAGAGCTCTTCTTCACCACTGTAATTCAAACTGCCCTCCATCTTTCTTTCATCGTCTTTCCATAATTTGTCTTCGGGATTGTCAATAGGTTGAAAGCCGGCAATTTCTGTCCGTATCCTTTCTATCTCTTGTAAATAATAAATTTTTTTCTCTTTCTCTCTTCGCTGACGACTGAGACCATCAACTTCAAGACCACCTTCCTTTTCTGGAAATAAGGCTTGATCAATGACTGCATAAAAAAAAGATAAAAAAAGTCAACATTAAAAGATGGTTAAAATGTGTTTGTTTTCTTTGGTTTGTGGCATATTAACATCAATGCATTATTTAATGCCGACAAGATTTTTATTTCTGGTAATATTTTCTTTTTTCAAATATTTATTGCTGATACTAATTTTTTTTTAAAAGTATTTCTGGTATTAAAATCTATTTTTACATTTTCATAGTGTTTTGAGTCAGGTTGTGGGGGTCAACTATTTGCCCATAACTGGGACCCTAACAGGTGCTATCACCCTGGGTCAGGGTGGACCTGGGAACACCAGTAATTAAGAGGTGGTTCCACGCTCCTCAAAACCTCCTGATCAGAGGCCTTGCTGTTGGACGTAGTTTATCGTCTTACCCAGGACGTGAATGCAGTTTATCATCATACCCAAGATGCAGTTAAAACGTGTGTGTGTGTGTGTGTATTAATAGCATTTCCTATATTTAAACATAACTTTAACATTTAATAAAACATCTTGTTAACGTTACTAAGAGGCTCAATTCATATTGAGTCTTCTATTTTAATAGTAGATAACTACAGCTATTGTTTGGTTCATGAAGTTTGGGAACCAGCGAATGCAGCTCCTTGGAGCAATTACCATGAAAGTATTTGTAAAAAAGACAGAGAGAGGTGACAGTGCATCTGTGAGAGAATGACTGTAGACGAGATGCCAGAACAGGGCCAATTATATTGCATATCCACCTCTGGAGCCTATCAAGAACCCCAAGGTTTTGGTTGGTTTTCTGGTTCCTTCTAAAGTATTATTCTTTATCACTCCCAGTAACCCCTTGTTATCTTAGTTGCATTATTGCCTTGCTTGGGGTGGATTAAAAAAAAAAAAAAAGAGATGTATGTTCTGTTACCACAGTATATCATCTCTATTGTCTAATTTTCCTTTTGTCCATCCCCTTTTAATTTAGGTACATCTTACACTATCACAGTTTTTGATCACTTCCTGTTTAGCCTGTAGTAATTATCTGAACTGGCACAATAAACCACAGGGTCAAAGCATGTAGTTCCTATTTTTTTATCTCCCTAAATCTACGCCTAATGATATCATCAACATTTCACTGTACTGCCTCCTGATACATGTCCATCTTGCATGCATATATATATATATATATATATATATATATATATATATATCAGGCAACCTTTTGACTTTCAATAAACCTGCTAATTAACAAGACTGTCTCCAAAGTTTTGATTGCCATATGACATTTATCCGTGTAAGGTGTACATGTTTGTGAGATGGACACGTATCAGGAAGAAGTACAATGTTAAATCTGTAAAAGTTGATTTTTATCTTTATTTTTTTATGACTACTTTATTTGTACATTTATAGTAAATCATCCATTTACAAATTTCACAAGAAGAGGAGGACATTGCAGACCAAAAAGAAGGACTTTAGCAGACTAACCCTCTCAGATATGTTGACACTGTAACTTGTATTTACATTTTTTTGTGGGTTTTGACTACCATATCAAATGAGAACAAAAATTTCGAAACTCTTTGCTATATATATGAAAAAATTTAAAATTATCATTTTGAGGATTTAATGTGCTTTAAAGATCAATTATGTTGACCACTGACATAATATTGCACATTCTTTTGATGTTAGTACCTGATAAAATGTTAACATGATTTTAAATCACTTTTTAAATATCTATTTTCATTATATCATTTTTTTCATAATACAATCTGTTATATTAAGAAATATAAACAAAAACCAATGTCTGTTTTTTTTCCCATTATTTGATTTGACATGGAATCACTCGGTAAATGGGAAGAGTTTCTTAGAGTAAAAAAAAAGGAAATTGTGAAGAGTCATGATCCCCTAGGTCTTGAAAGGGTATGGCATATATAAGGAGAATGGAGTGAAAGTCTTTTTTTCCCCCATTTTAATACTATGTATTCATATTACTTGAAATATGTTTTTTTTCTTTCTCCAGAGTTATTTTCCTCCAATTTCCCACAGCTGTTTTGTCTTAATGCTTACTTTAATTAATGATTTTCTTTATACTACTCACTTTGTTAATCAATTTTTTACTCTTCAATTTCTTCATTATATTGGGGTGGGAGTTTATTTCTCTAAGCTTTGTTTCATATTTCAGTAACCCTCTACCTTGAGTAGCTCTTCATCCTTGTACTGGATGAACTCTCAGTAAAAAAAAATAAAAAAAAAAAATAAAAAAATCAACAAACAAGATGTATGTTCAAACCTTCAGTCACAACTTTATTTGATCTCAAACTAGCACAACCGTCGACAAACAATTTTATCTAACCAAATTTACTCAAAAGGTTAATCTTTGGTATTGTTTTGCAACAGTGATACACACTGGGATCACTTCATTACCCTGCTAAGATGCCACCTTCTTAAACTATCGTGAGATTCAAAACTGAATTTCATGGTCAGAACACAAATGTTCTGACCACTCAACCATGGATTCATAAATATATATTAACAGTTATTCTTTCAGTTTGCACTGTTTTAATTATAGACAAGAAAAATAAAAGTTTTATTCAGTACCTGCCTCCACACATACTTGCACACACAAAAAGAAATGGTAAATTAACATCTGGTTCAAAGTATTGCTAAATAGAGGAAAGAATACTAAAAAGCTGGACTTTTCAGTGGCATAAAGTCAAACATCTAGCCTCCTTAAAAATAGGTGTGTTACAAAGTATATAATACATTTAAGAAAACATAAATACAAATAAAATTTTATGGTATCCATAAAAACCTCATGCTTTTCACATCATGTAAAGCTTGTTATTTTATTAGTTGATTTAACAAGTAGACAACAAATGAACATTCTACTGATAGATAGTATTAAAAAAAATTGGGGGGAGAGATTATAAAACCATTTATAATTCTAGAATAATAATTTGGGTTTTGGTTGATTTTGTTTAGAGCATATCACCCTTTATGGTTTACTTAATTCCAAAATCTAAAATATTTTGAACACAATTTTATGGTTTTAATAAATATATTTTGAGCATAATTGTATGCCTTCAACTATAGATAAAATATATTGTTAGTTATTTTGCTATGAAATTGTTGGTAAATCTGCTACCTCTGCTATAAATAGGTATTGTTGGTAATTCTACTATAAATAGGTATTGTCGGTAATTCTACTATAAATAGGTATTGTCGGTAATTCTACTATAGCTACTATAAACAGAATGTATTGGTGGTAATTCTTTTCATACAGAAATGTATTTCTGGTATTTTTATCATAAAAATGTATTTTTATACTTTCATAGTTTGGGGATTCACTAATTGCCCATAGCTGGGACCCTAACAAGTGCTACTACCCTGGTGGACCTGAGAGCAACAATTAAGGGGTGGGCTATGCTCCTCAAAACCTCTAATCTCATGATTAGAGGCCTTGCTTAGTAATTTTGATTTAAAGTGGAATGGCACAACTTGAAATTATACTAAAGTGAATTACCATGTACTCTATAAAAATAAAGGGAAATAAAAAGAATACATTACAAGCATACATAGTTATACTTAATATATACAAACATACTTATTTAACAAAATACTCATTTTTAGTTAGAGATTTTTATATGATTTGATAACTTGTTTTTTGTTTATTGATGGACATAATTCTTTTTTCCCCACTATTTTTCTAGTTCATTCTCTACATTAATTTATCCTTTTACTTTTTTTTAAATCCATGTTAGAATTTTGGTATTGGTAAATACTGTTTATATTCCAGTCTGTGGTTTATATAGTGGAGTTTTCATTGCATTTTGCTACAGCATCCTGCAGATGATTTATTTTTTGTGTGTGTGTGTGTGATTATTTTATTCTAATGAACTAATGTTTAAGTAGAATAAACCCAAATTTTATTCTTTAAATCCTATCTTTTTTTGATTTTATTTCTTTACCTTTTCATGTCATGTACAGTTAAACTTATTATCCATATCAACTAGAATGGGTAAAGCAGAGAGAAACAAGTTGAAAAAAATACCTCTTAAGACACACCTTAAATATCTTAAATACATCATGTTCAAGGAATGTAAACCTAACACTAATTTATTTTTACGTGGCATATCAACTTCAATTTCCCACAGCTGTAATGTAGCTTCCCTGCTCTTTTGTATAAATATTTTTATGGTAATTGTTCTGATGAGCTTTCCTCTATAGTATCTAGACTTTATGAATATAAGTGCAGTACTAGATTGGAAACAAAGTATCTTCATTTTACAGTTGAAATTGCAAAATATAACTAAGTTCTATGCTAAAAATTTCTTCTATTGCACTTTTCACTTTTCTTGCTTCTCATTCAAATTTGTTCTTCAAAAATTTAATTTGTCAATCCTTATCTTCTGCCTTCCTTCTTAAAGTCTGTTCTGTTATTGTCCTCTGTTTAATAGTTTTCTTTTTCTCATTCTTTAACACTCAGTAACCACTTGCATCTTAGTGGTTTTATTGCCTTGAGGTGAAATGATTAAAAAATTAAAAAAAAAAGAATTGTAGTTGCAACCTTCCAAATTTAGAGTCTGAACAAAACTTACCTAAATCTTCTGAATTTTGATATATATATATATATATATATATATATCTCACTTGATAATTATTAGGGATAATTCCATGGATGAACCCAAAAGAGAGCTCAATGAAAGAACAGAGCAAATATAATAATACAGAATCCTTAAAAATCCATTCAGGTATAATTTATTTTGTGGACTCAGACATCCATCTCTTCAGACCAAATTTTACAAAAGGATTTTAAGGGTTCTGTATTCATTATATATATATATATATATATATATATATATATATATATATATATATATATATATATATATATACACACACACTGATTTTCAAAGTGTAGCTCAGATGTGGCACAAGGCTGAAAGTATGGGGCACTAAGTGAGGATTAAATTCACTACTCAGTTGTAATTGTTCTAGCAAGAGAAGCTTGCTAACCATTACACCACCTCGAGGTACCATCATTGATTTTCTAAGCGTACCTTAGATGTGGCACAAGGCCAAAAGTATGGACACCCAGTGAAGATCGAACTCACTATTCAATCGTAACTGTTTTAGCAAGACAAGCTTGGCTAACCATTATACCACGCTGAGGTGCCCTAAATATATATATATATATATATATATATATATGCCAATAAAATTACAACATATAATGCATGTGTTAATGAAACAGAACACACACATATATATATATATATATATATATACACACACACACACCTCTCGCATAACTGAGTTTCATGTATGATGCAACCTTTGGATGCAGAGTTCAAAATGACTGTTTTATGGTACTTTGTGCTAGAGGAGTGAGATAGTATGTGTGTATATGAGAGAGAGAGAAGCATAAGTCTGACCAGGTGTACTTGCCAGAGATGCACTATTTATGAATTGAATGAATGAATACCTATCCAGCTTTCAACTTCGATATGTGGAGGAAACTGCTTAAGAGGTCAGTCTTTTATGATTGTATGTATAAAAGATCAAGATATTTGCTTTATGAATATAATTATATTAGATAAATAAAAAAAGTCATCTTACCTCGAATGCGGTGTTCAATGTGTCTTAGGTTACAGAGAATCGCAGCTAATTCCCGATTTGCAGATGTCCAAGCAGGCATTTCACCAGAATCTTGATCCATAAAGTCATCTGTCAGAAAAGGCATTGGGCTGGCTTTATTAGATTCTCTGGAGGATAAAATAAAAAAAAAAGAATCATTGCAAAATGTATGAAGATTGCAAATTAATATCTAATTTTTATCCTTACATCAATTCATTCTATGAGTACTTCTGATACCATACAGTCCAACACTACTAGCAGCATGGTTGGGTTACCTTTAACACTGTAGGTATTTTCACCAAGCAAAATGTTAGTCTTGTCATGCAAGTTGAATTTGAAAGTATTTCTGGTATTAAAACCTTTTTACACTTTCATAGTGTTTTACCCCAGTTTCAGGATTAACTATTTGTTCATAGCTGGGACCGTAACAGGTGCTACCACCCTGGGTCAGGGCAGACCTGGGAACACCAGCAATTAAGAGGTGGTTCCACACTTCTCAAAGCTTCCTGATCAGAGGCCTTGCTGTTGGACATAGTTTATCTTACCCAGGATGCAGATATAGTTTATTGTCATATTCAGGACGGATTACTGAGTGGAGGGCTTCCTAGACTGAAGTCAACAGTCAAGAGGAAGGTTCTTTCTGATGGAATCAAGTCATGTGTCTGTGACCAAAGCAAGCTTTCAAGTTGGTTGTAGTTTGATCTGGAGAAGAATGAACCCTACCAGGTATACTTGCTAGAGATGCACTATGCATGAATTGAATTAATAAATACCTATCCAGCTTTCAACCTAGCTATCAAGTGGCCAGCTGTGCAGTGACCCTAAGACCACACCTGGTTATGGGAGTGATGATGATGAATTTATATCCATAATCTTGTAAGATGTATACAAATTTTGGCAAAGTTTAAAATTTGTACTCACAAATCATATGGGTACAAGTGTTAAACTTTTCTCAAATTTTAAATCAACATTAAACAGATTGGCATTTAAATTTGCAAATTTAAGTATTTAAATTTATGGTTCGGTAAAATGAATACATACACAACTATTTTGCTGACATACAAATCTATAAAATATATCTTTATTGGTTAAATTATATATATATATATATATATATATATATATATATATAGTTAAAGAAGATACTTCTTAAAACATTTCATTACATTAGAACTTTCACTGTACATAGGATAGTTAATAAATCCGCAGCTTAATGATAAAAAATATTTTTCAACAATTTCTTTCAATGAATTTCACCCAATGTTTCTATATAGATCAAAGATTATACAGTGAAACATTCAGATCAAAATTCAGCAAATATTTTCATGGCAACTGCTCTGACAAGCTACTTTTCCCCTGGTTCCCCGACTACATGAATTTAAGCATGCTACTAGATTGGCAACTAGGTCCCATCATTTTTTAGTGTTGAAATAATTAAATGCAACCACCACTTCTACTCCAACAGTTTCTTTTCTTGCATTTCCTGCATGTGGAACTCCGTTCCATTTCCTTGATTCCCTGATAACTACAATTTTCAAAAAATTAAATGCAATGTCAATCACCATCTTGAATCCCATTCATCTCTATCCTTTCCTCATCCCCACCAATAACTAGTCTCTCACTTTCACTCTCTGTAAACTGATGTACTAGTGGCACTCCTGCCTTGCTTGGGGTGAAATGATAAAAAAAAATTCCGCAAATAACTTACATACAAATTTATTGATCTAACAGTTAGGTATCATTGAAAAATAGAATAAATAAATATTATAGCTCTAAGAGTTTTATTCATCATTGTTAATAATCCAAAAATTAATATTTTAAATTGGCCAAACTTTTCATTATGTGATGATAAATTCAGTGTTTAGTTCATGTATATATTTTATTTCAACCTAAAGAAACCAACCTTATTTTATCGCTTTGGAAACTGAAAGTAATGAATAAACTTTACAGCAGTAGAAGATTAATAATGTCATGACAAGGAAAAATGATTTAAACTCAGTCAAATGGAACTAATAAACTGGTATTTTATGAGCATTTATGACATACTATTTTAACATAAAAATATAATCTATCCCTTAAAATTATATAAGCAAAATATTAATTTAATAGTTGATTTAAATCACCTATATACAGCACACTCTAATATAAGAAAATGAGTTTTTTTTTTTTAAATTAAGAAATATGCATTTGGTATGTCATAAAGTAATTCCTTTGAGCCGAGTTCGAATTCTAGTTGAATCTATTACATTCACTAATACCCTTGAGAAAGGCATACATCCTCTTCTTCTCACCCCAGCTATGGGTAAATAGCGGGAGAGACCAGATTCTATAGCCTTGGATGGCAACTGGTCTACTGAAGAAAGAAACAGCAACCTACTGCAGGAAAAAAAAAACAAAAAAAAAACTACCTCGTCAGTCATGTATTGAAAGAAACATGATTGCCTAAACGTGTATCACGCATGGCACATAACTGTCTGAATTCATTGTTGTAGGATATTCTCACATCAGTAGCTGTACTGTTCAGACAACTTCTAGTGGTAGAATATTCTACAAAAGAGAGAATATGGTAAATTTGAAAAGATTTAATATACTTTTTGTATGGGTCATTCTAAGTTTAAACAAAGTTTCATTTTTTAAAATAAAATTAAATGATCAATGGAATTGCTATATATGACATGTTTTTTACATCAATGTCTTAGCTTAAACCTCAATACATTTTGTGCCAAAACATTTCAAATGTCAGTTTTTTTTTTTTTAATTTTATTTTTTTTTTTTTTTTTATAGCTTATCAACCTCTTGCAGGTTATTTAAAGCCAGAAAATATTTTTAGATTTTAAGAATGTTTTTGGAGAGAATGATTTACTGATATTAACCCATTTACCAACTGATGACTTGGCAGGAGGGAAGATGTGGATTTGTGTCATTCCCAAGAATATTTGTGCATAAGTGAATATAATGAACCCAACTGGAATTGGAACTCTTCTCTCCAATTTCAAGCCATTATCCATTACACCATCTGCACATCCAAGCTTACAACACCTTGTCAAAAGTTATAAATTATTAATAATTTATTTTATAAATATGGTTGTACAATGAAAGAAAATCATTTTTTTTTTTTTAATTTTATAGTCATGAATTTTCACTGGGAATACAGAAGAATAATCCCATCGAAAAAACTAGTCAGTATTCATATATGCATTATTTTTAAGAATATTTTTTGTCACATGAAAAGTGTAACTGCAGTAAAATATAAAATACTAGAGAAAATAAGAAAATTGAATAAGATTTTTCTGTTGTGCAAAATTAGTCAGAACTGCTTTGACATATGAAGTACTAAAATAAATAAAAAGCTTATATTACTATAAAAAATGATTTCACTTCCCATTGTAGGTGAAATAAATTATAGCTATTAAGATATGACAAAATATTTACTAAAGATACCAATTGTAATAAATAATACTGACAACACACCAACTGTAATAAACACATTTTTGAAATTATATGAATTAATAAAAATATTTATTATTTTTAGTGGCAGGACAATTAAAATAAAGCTAAAAAAAACCTAAACAACCCCAAACTATTTTGGCTGTTGATGTCTTGTGTCTATGAGTTGATTGAGGTGAGAGAATATGAGGTTGAACAAGTGATGAGATTTCTTCTTTACAAGAGTCAGATCAGACCAAAAATAGAGTATTGCTGTCAAATCTGAACTGGTACTGACCAGTCCTCATTATCCAGCTTTGACAGAGTTCAAAAGTGATTAAGCAGCCTTCTGGGTGATGAATTATTTTCCATTCTGCCACCCCTCTCCCACAGATAAAATATTCTAGCCTCTCACTGCTTTATTGCTATTTCCATAGCAAATGTTCATATCAAGTACATTCTTTAGCTCTACCAGTTCAAACCTTCACAGCTAGGATCTGTCAATGCCATGTACACAGCATCAACTTATCCTCATTCACTTCATATTCCTTTGATAAAGAGGAATATCAACTCAGAATTGTGACTATGTGGAACAGGCTCCTGAGAGCATGCTTTCCGAACTGCCACAATCTTAACCTCTTCAATTCTTATTTATTCTTCAATTCTTATTTATCCTATATATCCTCATAATCTGAACTTACTTCCTCTTATGCCCTTATAACAATCTCATTCAGTAACCATCTGCCTTGAGTGACTCTTGGGCTTTGTATAGAGTGAACAATAGTATAAAAAAATGATCTGACCATCAAAAGATAACAGAATCTGAATAAAATCTCATTCTCAGCTTTCTACTCTATTCTTTCTGCCTCAAATGAAAGATCAATGAGTGACTCATATAATCCAATTCTGATTCTCAATGATCATCTGACAGTCTTTTGTAACTATTCATGGTAGAAAATATTTAAGCATATACGTAATTACACATAATCTGATTACATGCTTTGCTTTCATTGGATCACACTTGACATTGACATGCTACATTGACATGTACCTTATAGCAAAGTTACAATGTTCAGACTGAGGATAAAATAATTTTTTTCAGGCTTAAAATGGTTTGGTTGGTTGATTAGTTTTCTATGGCTTATCAACGCTTTGCAGGTTATTTAAAACCAGAAAATATTTTTAGATTGTAAGAATATTTTGGGGGAAGATAATAAAGGTTTAGTGATACAAGTCTTACTAATTAACCAATAGCTGGGGTGAGAAAAGGTGGATTCATACCTTTCCCAAGGACATTTCCATGTAAGTGAATATAATGAACCCAACTGGAATTGGAACCTTGATCTCATTAACAATTCTGAGCTATTTTCCTTTACACCATCTGCACATCCAAGCTTAAAGCACCTGGTATTCCCATGCAGTCACTGCTGACCAAGCTTGACGTTGTTGATCATACAGGAACTGGTATTTTAGCATGAAGTGGCTGTAAGCTAGGCTAAAAAAGGCTAGGCTATAAAGGTACAGAAAATGTTGGATTTTGAATTACAAAATTTTGGGAGTATTTGCATTATTATGGGTAAATTATGTATTTAGCACATTTCTTCACACAGTTGTGTATAAAACTTCCAATTTACAAATGTTTTCCTGAAAAAAAAAAAAAAAAAAAAATAGGGTGTGATTTTAATTTTACCTAAAAATACAGTTTTTCCCACTGTATTTAACTTGATCCTTCTTTTCCTACCTAAATATGAATTAGTGATTAAATTTTACCTCAAAATTCAATTCTAAACATTACCTTTCTTCCAAGACTGGATGAATAATTACTAAAAGAGAATATTTACATAGATAAAAAAAAATAATAATTTTATAACTAAATAGAAAAAAAATATGTGTCCATGACAAATGTAAAAGATTATCTACTGTTATATAAATTAAAATATGTATGTTATAGAAAATATATTATTTGTTATATATATGAAAAAACTTACCTTAATCTCTGAACTGTCCGGTCAGTTGCTGTTTTCAACTTGACAGACAATCGGTAAATGGAAGAAACAATAATACGGTCACATGACTGTAAAAGAACCAAACAATAAAATCAGTAAAAAAACAGCATACAAAATACATTATGGGATACAGGAAAAAGTTTTGCTAAGATTTCATTGGTTGATTAAACCTACAATATTACTTAAATATACAAGTTTGTGAGTGTTTTTTTTTTTTTTTTTACTAGACATTATCTATAAAAATTTGAATATTATTTCTTCTATCATTTAATCCTGTTCCATCAGTTCCACAAATAGGCTGACAAGTTTTAGATTTGAAAAGAAAAAAAAAAAAATCATCACAATTATAGAATTTAAGATAATATTACTATAGCAAAGAATCCAAATGTTGAAAATGACATGCTACAGAACTATCCAAGGTATCTCCTACATAGACCACATTACAAATGAAAGACACCTTCAGACAAGAAACAGGCATATTAGAAAAGCTCTTATCCATGGTCAAGAAGTGAAAGTAAAAATGACATGGACATGTCATAAAAGCCAATGATATTTTCACTGCCATCCTTTAAGCAAAAGATAAGGCTGATGAGGAAAAAATGAATTTTACAGAGGCTCAGATATTAATATTCAACTGGAAATAGATACAGGAAGCAGGTTAAGGGCTCAGCTGTAGAGTGACTAAAGGTATACCTTGCCCTATGTCAGTAATTGGTTCCAGAGATGACGACTTAGTTCAAAAAACAACTTAAGTTGAAATAACTACACTATAAACTGCAAATAATCACTCCCCATTGCCTATTACAGTATTTATGATATGTATAGACAGTATTCTGAATAAAATAATTAATTTCCACCTTATCTTCCAGCGTTATAGCTTTATACTTAGCATTAGCACTTGGACTTTTCTTTGAAGCATTGGCAAAAATGTATTCTAAATCACAACTGAAATGTAACTGAAAGAACATCAATGACAGAACACAGATGTAAACCAGTCTGAATTCAAAAGCGGTGTTGGAGCAGAAAAAAAAGCACAAGTGCCGTCTGTTGGCAAGAATTTGAAATATAAACATCTGCTGAACATACATTATTATACTAATTGTTTTGTTTTAGATGATTCTGAGATTATATAGTTAGTATACATAATATTATTTTTAAATTTATTTGGATATAATTTTATGTGTATTGCTATTTTAGTGATTTGACATTTCTAATATTTTTAACGGCCGATGTAAACTTGAGTAAAATGATCTAAGGCAAGTTTTATTTTTCCATATAATATTTAAGAGAAACCGATGTATCTTTGAAAATGTCTTAACTTGAAATGACTTAAGTCAAGATATCACTAATGACAATGATTACATCTATACCAGGTATGTGAAACAGAGATTTGAATCATGTGTTTGCTTGGATTATGCAATAACATGCCAAGGGGCACATGGTGGAAATACAAATGAAGAAAAATCAAGGACAGAGAAAGACAGAAACTGATCTCAAAATGAGAGAACATAAAAATTCAATAAAAACGAAGTTGAAAAGAAATGAAGAGATTAAAAAAAAGGGGGGGGAGAGATTCCAATAATAATATGAAGAATAAAGATAAGTATCATTTGATCTTGTTGACAAACACTCCAAAACCCCACCAAAGTTTGCACACACCATTCCACAAAAGAAAGAGAAGAACTGTGTTGATTCGCCCCCATTCATTCTTATGGCTTCAAACTATCAATCCCTGATTACTGTATATATTCTAATAGTCATTCTTTTTTTTCCCATTGTTGTTTTTCATTTAACTTATTTGTTGGTACATAAAATTTCATATAAACTTCCCCAGTGTTTGTCTTGTTGGTTATGCCATTATTTAATGAGTTTTGATCCATCAGACAGATCCATTATATTTCCTTTTCTTTTTTATATATAATATTGTTAATATGTGCCGAAATTCAGGGTGTCCCTAATTGCTTCAATTATGGTGAAAAAAGTCTTTCTCCCTATGCTGGAAGGCATTGTGACCATGTGACAATATATATATATATATATATATATATATTTATTTTCACTCTCCTTACCAATCTATTGAATGAGAATAGGGGTTTACTATTTAGGATTGGATTTCTGGTCTCTTCTAAAGTCTTATTCTCTTTCACTCCCTAGTATCTTAGTGGCATTATTGCCTTGATTGGGTGGAAATGGTGTGTGTGTGTGTGCATTACTCAAAATATTGTTATAGTGGATACTTCATATTTGAAATAGATGTCCCATTTTTATTTATTAAATTGTGTGCATTTCATTTATTTGTCTGCACATTGGAGAAACTTAGTGGAGAAAATAATAAAAATGTTGAATTAAAAATAAATTCATGAATTCATTATAAATATCAAGAAGTATAAGCTGTCAATTGTAGATATCCCCTGATGAGGGGGACAGTGTAATTCCTGGAAGGTCCATCTACAAAACTGGCGTCAGGATGCTGAAGGTAACAGCTAAGTGACCAACCTATTACTTATATTATATATACATATATTCTAAGAAGAAACTAAACAGCAAGAACTAAATGTATACCTGTGTAATTATTTTTTGTATATTAGAAAATTTTATTCATTAGAAATGAATAAAATCATTTTTATGGTTCATAATTATTTGTGTGTGTGTGTGTGTGAGAAAGAGAGAGATTGATTAATTCTATCAATATTTTCAGATGAATAAACATGAATTACTATGTAACTATCTATGGATGTATTTATTATACTGTCTGCATTAAGGTAAACATATGCTATTTATATATATGACCTTAATAATGAAGAAAATTTATTCATTCATTCTATTTTAAGATTATGTTTTGATTGCTTAAAGACTAAAGAAATGCAATCAACAGAAATATCTAACCACTCATGTTTATGATGAACACCAAACATGATCAGAATCAGAATAGAAAAAAAGAAAAAAAATATTCACAGACATAAATGAGAAACATGACTTCGACCAAATCAATAAACACAAAATATTTCCAGGCATGAATTATTACTTACATAGAAAAAAAAAATGACTTCATGAAGGAATATATATCTAAAACAGATATTTCTCAGATATTATGTATTTATTACTAGCAAGACCTGTGTAAATTACACGGATTTACTAATAACTTTTTATTTATTTTTTTTTTTTTTTTTTGCTGTACACTTCTGTATTTTTCAACCCATGCCTATTCCCTAGATTGTTATAAAAAAAAGTGCTATATCTCTTAAAAAAGACTGAAATATCTTCAACAGATCATTAGGTCTCAAAACACGACATCCCCTTACTACAAACAATTGCCTTTATCCAAGATACCGCCTCCCCTTATGTCACACACATTTTTTGGCTGATTATGTCTATCTCAGATACTCAACACAGTTTGGGTTTCATAGGATTAGAAGAACATTGTCTATTTTTATTATATTACAAAATGATTATAATTATTAAAAGAAAGATTTTAATTTTAAAAGTTTAGGGGCAAATTTGTCCTTAACAGATTGTTAGATCACAAAACATGATGATTTAACCCCTCACAATAAACAACTAACTTTATCTAAGATGGATTCCTCTCAAATTCCTGAGTCACACTCTTTTCTGTCTCTGTATGTGTATGTCTCTCAGTATCAGTGAAACCAAATGTGACAAACCCCATACACGAGTGCAAGCACACACACACACACATATACATATATATATATATATATATATATCTCAGTGTACAATGAAGTTGACACTCAATGGAGACAAATGAATTTTTTTTTTTAACTGACAGCCTGAAGATTACATTTAAGCATGAGACAGTTGCTGTTGACCCTAATGTCCACTTTCATATTTACATATTTTCTATCCTTTATATTGAGCACTTTAAACCATAAATCTAGCATACTTTAAAACTATATTTTATCATATATATATATATATATATATATATTTATTTATTTATTTATTATAGAATGTATATTTAAGATATTCCCATTTATTCAAATAGAAAAGTGATTATTCTATTCTGAACAGTCCAAATATAATTTTTTTTTTTTATTAAAAATAAATTAGTTTGTATTGTATTCTAAGCTACAAAGATGTGTTGTGCACCGTAAATAGTTAAACATTTATTATAAGAGGTGCTAATAATTATCATCATTCTCTTTCACATCATTTTTGAGTGAAAGAGAAACATACCAAAGTGATGCTTGCGTACAAATATATGAAGCCCAATATATAAATCATAACCTCCAGTCTGATAATGGTATACAAGGTTCATGTATCCCAGCCAAATGTGCTTGATATTTTGAGAGGTTCTAATAAAAGCTGCATGTAAATTTGCAGGATCTTACTGGAATATTTTTATAGCTTCATCGTCCCTTAAATAATAAATGTATAACTAAAGCATTTCAACATCTGGTCATGATGCTCTCTCAATATTTCTGTTCATGGACAGAGATATACAGTATGTCAGTCCCTAACAGACATCCCTAATTAATTATGGTAAGGGAAATCTGTTGTACAGAACGGGATATTTACAGTAAACTATCTTATTTAACCAAGACAAAACATGTACATATTAACACCTCCAGTTGATTATGATCAGAAGCTATAATAGCCATTATTATTATTATCATTATTACTGAACATATGGCAGCCCCTTTTCAAATAGGACTGTAAATAGGTGCTTTTTCTTATTAAATATATACTCCCACACATGAACACATATGTAAATTGTGTCAAGCCCTAGGTGATATGCCTAAGTAGTTAAGGTCAGACAAGACAAGTGACATAAATCTGTTGTACAGAATGGGATATTTACTGTAGTCTATCTCATTTCACTAAGACAAAACATGTACGTGTTAACACCAACTGATTAAGATAAGAAAACACGAGAGCAATGACTGTTGTAGTATCAAGGCATTTATTATTATCATTGTCTTACTTATCATTGAACAAGAAAGAAACACAACAAAGTGATACTGAGGTGAAAATATATAAAGCCCAATATATACATCATAATCTCAAGTCTGATAACCATATACCAGGCGCATGAAGCACTGCCAAATGT